CAAATCTCTTAGGTATTAATGGGATAATTAAAGAGATTCATACTGAGAAATTAACTTAAAATTTACTCTATAGTCCAAATGCATGCATTTCTTGAGAATGCAACTCTTTTCATTGACTTCTTTCACTTGTTTGAGTTCTTTGGACAATCTTTTGGAGGCAACCAAGAGGTCGCTGATTAACTATATTTTATCCCAAGGCATTGATATACACAAGGGAAAGTCAAATTGTTTTCTTCAACTAATTAAAGGGACAAATCAAAATTTTAAGTTCAAGTATCACAGCAGCTTCCTTATGCAACTTATTAATGTCCATGCATAGAACTGGTAATTCATAAAATAATATAGCCACTTTTAGTTTGTACTCCATTGCTCCAGCACATAATGATGCATAGATTTGCAATAGCAAGCAAAGTAACTGAGAGAGAGAGAGAGAGGAAGTCCAAGGAGTTTCAAATCTTTTTGCACTATGGGCAAGAGTACATGGGTTTGGTGCCTGATAGTGCATCAGGTATGCAAAATGATAAAAGGCAAATCAGAGCCCGGGATAAGCTTATGAAAGTATGAGATGGATTGCATATTTGTTGATAAAACATTAGTTTAATAATATCACAGTTCATTCAAATCCACAAGAACATTTGATCCATCTTTCATTATGCTTTAAATCAGAGCCAGGAGTTTCATCCACGTAATCCGCATTTGAGGCCATGGAACAATGCTTCTTTAATTAATACATGTAACATCTTGTCTTTCGATCTCATTGGCTGAAAGTTTATAACCCCAAGAAAGAGAGGTCAGAATCAAAGATTAAACTATTGATCATCCCACCAAGTTAAGAATTTTCATAATAAGATATTACTAGGGAATTGGCTTCCAAATGTGGAGTAGTAGCTATCAAACCATGGCTAGCTGGAAACAGAGAGAATTTGGTAGTCAGAACCTTAGTCATATCAAAAGAGGTGCTGTCAATGTGATCTGACTAGGATATGTCAAGGCTTGTGGAATTAATTATTCCTAATTTGAAAGATTAATTGAGCTTGATTGGATTAATT